TCTGGTTTCATCGAAAGAAAATTTGCCTTCTGTTAATATTATATATTTGAAAATAAAAGATTTGTACAACAATTTTATGTTCATATGAATTTGATTAAAAGCATCAAAAGTTTCATGCTGATTATTTTTGTTTAATTTTTCAGTATTTCTAATAATTTTTCCGATTTCAGATCTGTATTAGTAAAATACAAATGCAATATTTAAAAAATTAAACGGACAAAAAACCGAATCTTTGAAAATGGTTAGTGTTAGCATAAAACGAATTAGACATGGGAAAACATGTTTAAAATATTAACATAGATTAGAAATACTGAAAAGTAAATAAAATGAATAATCAAAGAAAGAACAATTAGTTTGCTTTTTAATTGATATCCGAAATTTAAAGAGTTATCAATAAAATTTGCTTTTAATTCAATAGGAGTAAAAATTTGCCTACTGCCTGGTTCAAACTCCTCCCTAGTCTTTTGAACAGGAGTAGAAAATTTATCTTTTGTTCCCTGTTTAGGATTGGGTTTCCACTTCCTAGTAAAAAATTCTAAAGAAACACAAATAAAAATCTTGTGTTTTAGTAGGAAAAGTAAAAGAAAAGATTTAAAAAAAAAAAAAAAAAAAATTACAAATATCAATGATTGATAGATTTATTTTTATGGTTTAAAGAGTTATTTAAATCCAAAAAACTTTTAATTGCAAGGAGAAATTCTTTTTTGGAAGATAATAAAAGTGATAAAAAAATTAACCCAAAATGGAGAAAAAAAAGAAAGAAAAAATGTAAAGAAAGAAAATATAATAAATCCAAATAAAATTGACAATTTAAAAATGGATCCAACAAAACCCAAGAAGAAAGAAAAGAAAAAAAAGTGATTAAAAAAGATACTGAAAAGAAAATTTAAAAATTAAAAGCCGGTCATATAGAACTGGTCTCTCATCTCTATATGGTCAAAGAAAATAAAAAAAATAAAAACAAAATAACGAAACTCTTTAAAAAGTCAAATTGATTTGAAATTGTAGGTAATAAAGACCCCTCTTCTAAATTGATGAAAAAAGTCAATTTTAAAATGAGAAAATGCTAAGAAAGGAAAAAAAGAAATGAATGCTAAGTTATGAAAAAAAAACGAAAAAGAAATTCTTCTCCATTTTTTGAAATTTAATTTAAAAGGGAGCAAATATTTTAAATGAAAAAAAAACTTAGAAATTTATTTAAAAAAAAGTTTAAATAAAAAAAAAGAAAAAATCTCCTTCAAATAGAAAGAAATAAAGAAAGAAAGATAAAAGCAACAAGGAAGAATCCCCTGACCCAAGAAAGAATAAAATAAATCTTAGTCAAAACATCTAGTGAGAACAGGGGGTAATAATGAACAAAGCAACTTCTAATTCAAACAAGGAAGTTAATTTGAGAAAACAAAGAATAAAATAAAATGATTAAAATGGAAAAACAAATGTTTGAAAGGTAAAAAAAAGAAAAAGGTTGTAAAATGGATGGGAAAAGAAATAATAAAATGTTGTGGCTTTTATCTGTCAACAATGACGAAAAGAACAAATAAAAATTGTAAATAAATAAAAGAAGTAAAAAAGAAAATAAAGAAATAAATTGAGAAAGAAAATAAAAATTTGTCAATCCCGCCAAAAAAAGCAATGGGTAAAATGGAAAAAAATAATTCCCCAGAAATTTCCCAAATTAGGAATAAAAATAAAAAAATCGAAAGAAAAAAAGAAAAAAGAAAAAATAAAAAGGAAAAGGAAAAAAAAAATAAGAAAAGAAAGAATAAAAATAAAAAAGTAAAATGGAGAAAAGAAAGGAAGTAAAAAAAAAAAAGGAAAAAAATAAAGTAAATTAACAAACCGCTCCTGCCAAAATAAAATAAAAAGTAAATAAAAATAAAGAAAATAAGAAAAAAAAAAGAAAGGAAAAAAAAAAAATAAAGGAAAACAAATTGAGAAAAGAAAAAAAAAAAGTAAAAATTAAAAGAAAGAAAATGAAAGAAAAGAAAGAAAGGAAAAATAAAAAAAAAAAAAGAAAATGGAGGAAAAAGAAAGGAATAAAAAAAGAATAAAAATAAAAAAAAGAAAATGGATATTAAAGAAAAGGAAAAAAAAGAAAAAAAGAAGAATAAAAGGAAAAAAAAGAAAGGAAATAAATTGAGAAAAATAAATAAAAAAAAAAAAAAGTAGTAAAAATGGAGAAAAGAATGGTCTAGAAAAATAAAGAAAGGAAAAAGAAAAGAAAGGAAGTAAATTGAGAAAAACGAAAGAATAAAAATAAAAGAAGTTAAAATGGAGAAAAGAAAGAAAAGAAAGAAAGGAAAAAGAAAGAAAGGAAAAGAATTGAGAAAAAAGAAGAATAAAAATAAAAAGTAGTAAAATGGAGAAAAGAAAAATAAAGAAAGAAAGAAAAATGAATAAAGAAAGAAAGAAAAAAGAAAAGTCAAGAATAAAAAATAAAAAAAAGAAAAAAATAAAAGAAAGAAATGGAGAAAGAAAGAAAAAAAG